GCAGAATGACTTAACTGCAAGATGATAGTAAGAATTGATTTCCACAAATTTGCAAGATTTAGCAATTCGGCTTTTCATTGCAGAGTTAAGTAGTTCAAGTAATGGAAGTTAAGTTTAAATGATGATCTTAACTAGCAACTGGAATAACAGTCGGGATTCCGATACCTTAATTTCGTCTGCTTTCCGATTCAGTTGTTCGTTGTAGGCTACACATTGCAAGCAAGTGCTTATTGCTGTCATGCTATTTGTTGGTCGTAATATAGAACGTTAGAGTTTAATAGATCAAAGAAAGCAGGATTATTTACAACATGTTTTAGTTATAGTGTACTTGATATCACTCCTGGAAGTACGAAAATCCTTCAAATTTCGCAAAGCACACAAGGATCCAAGTAATCGACAATTAAACAACTTCACAATAGGATCAGTTTATTCCTTCACATTATTGCACTGTTTGGTGCGCTTCGATCTTGCCAAATTGCCGCTGCAGTACGAAAAAAAAAGAAAAAAAAATTCCAACTGCTTGAATGTAAAACAAAAGTAGTTAAGTGGAAGCGGAACCATACTTAAGCCTCGCTGAACTGTAACTCATTTCTTATCAAGCAATCGATATTTCTGACAAAAGGTTGTTTTTTTACTACCGCCTGATAACAAGCACTACACTCAGAACTATGGCAGAAACGTCACAGTAAAACGTAGAAAAGTAACAACAACAAGGGAAGATCAGAGAGAGCATGATTCAACTGTTTGTTTTGAATTCGAGTAGTTCTGTTACGATGATGGCATCCATCGTTAGACGAGGATAACTTTTACAATACCTCTAATCTTAGATAGGGAAAGTCAAAGGGAAAGGATATTACTTATTAATGCTGTTAATTCGAGTCGTTAAAAAAGATTGAATTTCAGTGCATAAGTAATTTTTTACGACGAAAATCAAACTGAAGGAGAACAAAATTTGGAAACCAAGTGTTGTTTAAAGTGGCGTATAAGTCCACGTCCGTGAACTGCACAAAAGCCACAAGCAAGCAAAGTACAAAGGATGCTTGAGAGGGTAATAAGTGCAGTTGACAAAAGGAGACCAGGCGGAGGACCCTCAAACTAAATAAGTAAGAGAGAACAATTCTTTCTTCCGGGAATGAAATGACGCCATTGGAAATGTGCCAAATTCCAGCTCATTGTATCCTTTGCTTGTATGTAGTGGTTGGAAGAAAACTGATAAAGTGGAAGAAGTTGAAGTCATAACAGTGATAATTCCTTGAGATATCATAAAGGTCGCTAGAAAGGATAGCGAGGGGTTAAATGAGGTAAATTAGACGTAAAGTACTGTACTTACAAAGACAGTATGGCAATTTGAGAGATGGCGAGGATTCAGAGAATCAGGAAATACTGCAGGCATAAATGGGAAAGGGGATGATGAGCGTGAAACGTAATGACAGGAAATTTGTCATCAACCAAAGGATGATAAAGGGCAACCGAATGTTAAAAGGTGTTTCCAGGGAAGCCTCTTACAAGGACAAGTGAGAGAGGTTGGTGACAAAAGCAGTAGAGTTAAGAGTAAGTCATGTGGAATTATAGAAGATTGATGTTGTGTACGAACGATGAGGAAGTTTTATAGGATGACTCTGCGGAAGATTTAGTGGTTGGATCGACCGATCGATCGGTCAAAATATATCGACATTGGTGATGTTGCTGGGGTGGGAGTGGCGGCCTTTGACGATAGCTGGAGCAGTATCATCTTATATTTTGTGTTCCAACCATTTGATAATTTTTTGATTTGCGGTTTGCAATTTCGGACTACTTTTGCCTGTGACTTTCATCTGCAAATATGTATTTTACAGATGACTAATGACATCCGTGATCAAATTAAACTCAGGACATTACATCCCATCTGTTGGTCTTGGTACTTGGCTTTCGGAGCCCGGTCAAGTTGGAAATGCACTTAAAATCGCTCTCAACAATGGTTATCGACATATCGATTGTGCGCATATATATAAAAATCAGATCGAACTAGGTGGAGCATTTGCTGAGGTTTTTAAAGAGAAGAACATAAAGGTAGGAATGTTTATAAAGAAAACTTTTTTGATTTCACTAATTTTAAGTCCGAGTAATTCCGTAATTCCTTGCATTTTATGTTTCTTTCCCAAGGCATTGCGCCAATATTTCTAAAACATTAATTTAAATTACCTTAAAATATTGTAAAAATATTGTCCAAGGCTTGCAAAGCTGTTCACATGCAGTAAAGGTTTTAGCGTGCTGATGTATTTGTCACTTCGAAAATATGGAATACTTTTCATTCATATGAAATGGCCAAGAAGGACATAGATATAATATTGAACGAACTTCGCTTCGATTATTTAGATTTATGTCTCATTCACTGGCCACAAGGGTATGAAGAAAGTGGTGAATTTTTTCCCAAGGTCTTTCCAACTTTTTTTTCGATTTCTATAAAAGAATGAAATTCTCTATACAAACTGCCAAAGAAATGCCACTTAAGTTGGAGACTTTTTTATATTCAGTATGGTATAATTCATAAAACAGATTTGAGTAGCAGACCTGAGTATTTAATGAAGTAAATGTGTTTAATAAAAGTGAACAAGCAGTTGTCATCTTTCATTGCTACTTTAACACTGTCGTTAAAAATATCCTGAAATCTCTGGTTTCAAGATATTCATTTCATTTCCATCTAACTTGTTCAAAGTCCTGCTCATGTATAAATCCAGCTAGTGTTATGTGCAACAATTTAGAGACCGGATAATGAAAAATGTATATATTCGGACGTTGACTACTTGGATACATGGCGTGCTATGGAAGAGTATGTAAAACTGAAGAAAATCCGTTCTATTGGATTGTCAAATTTTAATCACAAACAGATTCTGCGAGTGATTAACAATTGTACCATCAAACCGGCTGTTTTGCAGGTTTGTTTGAATCTCCTGTTTCCTTCCTGGGATTGAAATTGACAAGTGATATCCAAACTTGTGATTTTACGAGAGTTTTTGAACACAAAGCTTGGTATGCAAACTTGTGATTTTACGAGAGTTTCTGAACACAAAGTTTGATCTATAAAATTTAGCCGTTTACCGGGTGGATTTATATTAATTTTAATAAGTACCGGACGAAATTCAGGTTGAACTTCATCCTTATTTTCAACAGCACAAATTACACAATTTCTGTCAAGAGTATGGAATAGTAGTGACTGCGTATAGTCCACTGGCCAATCCGACGATGCCATTCAGAAAAGCAACAGATGCTGTTTTACTTGATGATCCTGTCATTCTTAAGCTTGCAAAAGTGCATCACAAGTCAGCCGCACAGGTAAGAGATTCCATTTTGGTTACCTTCTTTGGCTTTCCATGGTGACTTAGGATGATGCATCAAGTACTGATGTTTGTAGGAAAAGCTGTTTTAGTTTAGTGTTTTGGATATCTAAAACTTTATGGTTATGTCAACTATTCGAGTTAGGAAGGCATGTTTCTGGTGTTTTGCCAGCTAATGTAAGACACTGTTTAGGTTTTAAAACAAGCAAACTTCTTCTGTAAACTGATCCTCCACCTCGAAATTAACATCATGTTGCACATCTTTTCAGGAACTTAATGATTTTTATTTTAAAATAATCTCAGAATTAAAGTGGAAATAAGCTTGATGTGATTTTTTTGCATATTTAAATAGACAACTGACGAATTAGGATGCTGAGTATTTCAAAAACTTGGAAAAATAATTTTTTGTTATTTTCAGATAATACTACGTTGGGGCATCCAACGTGGATTGGTCGTTATTCCGAAATCAGTGACTGAAAAAAGGATTATTGAAAACATCAATATTTTCGACTTTGAACTCAAACCTGAAGAAATGACACTGATCAACAGCTTAGATAAAAACTGGCGTATCTTAGATCTTTCAAGAGATGCAGACCATCCTTTCTTTCCGTTCAATGAAGAATATTAAAATAATTTTGGGGAAAGTTACAACAATGGAAAAATGAAAAGACTTTCTAAGCTCTTCTTTTCAAGACCAGGTTCAGCACTTCCCCAAGCTTCTATTGCAAACTGAGAAATTTTCCCCGAGCAATCAAAGTATTTATTGTTTTGAATATATCCTAGATAAAAGATTTATTACTTGACACAAAAAATAAATGTTTTACCATACCTGAAGTGATGAATCATCTGATTGTCTCTAGTTGGATAAATTCGAAAACAGATTGTTTGCAGTGGTTTCTCAAACTATTTATTTATCTTTTATTTTTTGTGGATGAAGTCCCGACTACGTGAAGTTCGATTGTCAAGTGGTCCATTGTCGTGGTTTCCAAATTATTGCTTTTATCCTTTTAGTTCTTACCCCGATTCGTGTTTTGGTTAGGAGATATAATTTCTTTATACCAAAAGAGATATATTACTTTCTTGTTTGTCGGTTTCGTTGGATCTGATCGATAATTTCAGAGATATAAAGGTTGATTGTGCGCCGACATCAAAAAGTACCAAAACTGTTTTATAGAGTTTAGGTCTTCGTGGATTGAAACGTCAATTTCTTTACGTAAAAATAAGATTACCCGGTTCGACGGAGATTGACAATGAAGTTTTTGTGTTGTCTGACATGAATGCAATGTAGTTGGTAGAAGTTTACTGATGATGGTGACAATTTTTTTTAGCGGATACAGAGGATACAAATGCAGTTATGAGTGAAAAAAAGGGAAGGAAATTTGTTTGCATTGGGAGTCGAAAATTGAAGATGAGTTGGACCTGGAAATGTGGAAATTTCGGTCGTCGGGGCTTGTAACAAAACTGCATTTAAAAACTCCATTGTGGATGTGGTTTACAAAACTAATACATTACATATAAGACTAATTCTCGGACAAAGACCGATTGACATTAAATGCATTCACATTAGCTGTAAATTATTGTTTTGCATGTGTTAGTAAACTATCAAAGAAGAGGTATTTGATATCAAAAGTAGGACTTTTCCCTCCCATTTAACGATGATTAAATGAATATTTCAATAAGCTTGCCATATTATCTATTTGCAGAAATGTTTAAAAAAGTTCGAAATGCAGAGAGATGTCAAAGTTAACCTTAATTTTTCCGCATGGTCCATCACAATGGCATTCTCGAATTCGCGAACTAGGAATATTACTTGGCGCAACGCGCTTACAAATTTGCATGTCTGTTGGAGACATGTCTTGCTTTGAGGACACTAAAATATTTAACACCACTTGCTCGCGAAAATGGCTCATAACTTTAGAAGATAAAGCAATTAAAGACCTATCACTGATGAACCTATCAGGTGAAACGGCTTACAACAGCATTTCACCTTAACTATATCCAAATTATTAATACCGGGAAATTCAACACCAGGCTGGTACG